CCCTAATAATATAAAAATAAAATAAAATAAAATAAAGGCCCGAAAAACCTAATGCCTTCCGTTAAATGCATATATGCCACTTCATATATTTCAGATGTGAAATATCCAGACTAGTAAAGGACATCACAGCTGCTATAAATTTGGCATTGTGATACCCACCACCCTTATCCTATAAAAAATGTCATTTAACTCTTTTTTTATAGAATAAGGGTGATAAATGAGCATACACTGCACCTGATGTTAAGTGGATGCTGTGGCCCATAGACATCTATATCTATCCTCTATAAAGAAACAAAATGCAGAATGCATTGTCACCCATGAGGACTATAAGATGGAATGCATCATTTTCATTAAGAAGGGTCTCAGGTTCCCTACACTTACCATATGAAACACATTGCATAGCATTGAGCTGCTATTTCACACTGGTATTCTGTGAAAGTGTGCTTCTTCCCCAGTCGATCTACAACCATAATATAGCTGCAGTATGACTCTACAACATATTTTATTGTTTTATTGATTTTTTTTTATTGTACAATAGTAACGTAAATATATATACCCATATTATAAGCCAAAATTTTTGTTTAGCATTATCGTGATAAATTTTTTACCAAGTGCTTATTTAACAAGTAAGTTATTATAGAAACAAAGAACCTAACTGCAATGATCAAATTAATGCAAAATATATTTCATATATACAAGTTATTTGAAATGTAACCATTATTTTTTGTCCTATATGTAGACATTCTGCATAATAACCTCTCCCATCTACAAACTCTATTAGGACATTTATAAAGTTAAACTATAATTAGTGTAATTGTGTGTTAGTATTAAATACTTTATATACACCACCAAAGGTTAGTAATTATTGTAACAGTGATATAACATTTTAGAACCATAATTATGTAATCTGAGTTTCATTGTCATGACTGACTTCACATTGGCAGAATTTGTTACCTACTACTAGGTGCTTAGAACTTATTTTCGAGATGACTATCTGGGTAGATACCATCCCCTTACCTAATTCTGCCACCAAGCAGTAGTGCATGCACTAACTGTCTTAGTTTTCAGAGGTAACTTCTTTACACTCTTCACATTTCAATACCCTTCTTTGTTTGAAGTTAGCTTCAAGTATACTAGAAGTTTGTTTATCATTTCAGTTTAATTAAAAAACAACGGAGGGAAACAAACAAGGAGATTGGCAGCAGCCTCAAACTGACCGGCCACCTGCCTATATACTATAAAAACAGCCTGGCATAAGTAAAGACATAAAGAAACCACCCTCAGTCCCTACAATCCCTGCATGCCGAGCACAAAGTGCATAAGTATGTTCTACTAGCGCCTAAAAATCAAGATTCCAACGTTTTGTAGCTTGAAATGGTATCTAGCAATCACATTATACATATAAATGATATAAAAAGCACATTGTCAGAAAGATAAATGATTGTTGAACTTATTAATAATTTTTTTTAAATTGATTAATTGCTATTTTTACATAAAAAAAGGGATTTTAGTGGCTTATGTTGTGTATTTATCAAGTCCGTATGGCTTTGTCAACACAATAGCTTTTGAAAATATCAATTGTTCAACTCAATCTATTTTTAAAACTCTTCATCTATCATGTGGGAAGCCATTGAATGTAAATGGCAGTTTAATTTTGTTTTGTTTAGTTATAATTAATTATTTTCCGCTGCAAAATGTTGAAATTTTCGATGTTTTCGCAGCCTTGTGTTAGAATTTATTTCAGTAAATAGAGACTGCCTGTGCCTCACTCGCTTTGTGAGGCGTCAACCGCCGTTGTGAGTGTATACTGTATCGGTTGTTTGCAGCGGCTCAAAAAGATCGCTGTACAAATAAATACAAAATATTTGAAAAACAAATTTCATACATACTTGATTATTATAATAATCAGAGATTTTTATTACAATATTTTAAAAGCACAGAATAAATAATAGTAGTACATACTAAAAGTAAGTAGGATGTAATATTTATACTTGAATACGTCTTGGACTTTTTGGAGTGACATGAATGATGATATGATGATCATATGAGCATTATGAGTTGTGCACTTTGGATTTTCCAAACTTTTTCAAATTGAAGTTTGACATAAAATTATCGGAAAATTGGAAGAATAATTAGGTTATTAGTGAAAACTTGTGTGTATTTAAACTACTTTAAAAAAAATCCATATAATCATGCTATACATAATTTTTTTAATGCGAAGGCATGCTCAATTGGATTTACCAATAGTTTATGTTTAAATCTCCAAAACTTTTGATTTTAGCAATTCTATTAGAATGAAGCTGGGGACGGATAAGTGTGTGGTCATTCATGTCGTAAGGGTAGGGTGGCTAACTCTCAGGGCATAGACTTAACCTATGCCCATCAACATAAGGACCCTATCCGAGGCTGACACATACCAATACCTAGCCATGTCACAGAAAAATAGGTATCGATGAGGTGGACATGAAGCAGTCAGTTTGCGATGTGTTTTAAGCACACTTGACAAAAGTGCTAAACAGTCTTTTGTCGGGCGTAAATAGGACACAACACATATAACAGTTGGGTCATGCCTGTTCTCATGTATACCTTCGGCATGCTCAAGAGGACTCAGACTGAACTGAATGTTCTGGATAGAAAAGTCTGCATTGTTATGACGTCCCACTGGATGCATCATCCAAGATTGTGAGTAATGAGGCTGTACTTGCCACGGAAACATGGTGAGCACTGCTTTTTAAGCACTCTCACCATGCATAATTGTAAAGTGTGCAGCCTCTGTAATTATTTCTTGACAAGATCGGATGATCCATTCTACTTGTGGTTGTTTCTGCGGTCAGCCTCTCAGGTCATCTGAGGCGACTGGGACTCTGTAACTGACCGCTCCGGGCTCAGGTGCAGAAGGCGGTGCTCCTCGATACCACCCACATCATCTGCCAATTTTTTGCCCTTTCCTCCAAACCCACAGCCGTTTTGTATCCCCTGCCAAGGGCTTCCATCTTATTGGGTTCTTATTTATTTATGTATGTATTTATTTTATTTTATTGATATTATTTATATATATTTATCATTTTCATATTTATACAGTCCAACCAGATGAGAAAAATATATAGATACCCCACAATATAAATAATAACATTACATAAATGTACATGGTTGATAACCTTTGTGAATGAGGTAGTTGCTTCCAAGATATTTCATAAATATGAAAGTTTTGTAAGTAGTTTGAACAACTTGTGTTTTATTGTATAATTTTACTATGATAATAAAAATCCCACTGGGCTATCTTCAAATAACTCGTAATATACAGCAAATCTTACAATAACAAAAAAATATAATATTATGCACTGAGCATAATTAAAACATTTACATCAATTTCTAAATCTAACATTTTCATATTGGCTCTGCTTAGACCTAGCAAATTTGGATACTTAACACACTTAGCAACTAACCTTCTTACCAACAAAAGTGTCAATATGTAGAGCCTGCGTAAGGCTTTTCAGAAATGAAATAAGTTAAATAAGTAAGCATCTTTTCTGTACTTACCCCATTATGCGGGATAATCTTGATGGCACTAACACCATTTGTTTGCTTACTTTTACTATCAACATTTATATTGTACTTATTTTTAACTGACGCGGTCTGCAGGTCCCATTCATGCACCACATTATCACCTGTACAACTGTACAAGCCATACTTTCTATGCCAGTCTAAAGTCTTTATTTTATTGTTGTGTATTTCATTACTCTTCTGATCAATTAACACTGTTTCAACCTTCGCTTGGGCAACGGAATACAATAAGATCTTTCCACTGGTAGTCCCTACTGCTATTAATTGAGTCTCTTGATCACTAATTGATTTTCTTCTGACACCTTTTTGTGAAGAGACCTGCAAGAAAGGTTATATCTTAGAATTTGATGCTTTTACTATATTTTATGATAATCAAATACTTTATGAAAAGCTATAATTTTATTACAGAACAGGCTTTTCAAAATAAAGCTCAAATATAATGATTTTTCAATAATGATAAAAAAACCACGTGTGTCTACTTACTGATCGTGTGACATTTAACCATTGCAAGCAAGACGGCGGGGAAGTTAAGTGCAGGTCTGGGGTATATTCCTGTTTAAGGACATTTGTTTCTGTATCCCAAATCCTAAGCCTGCCATCCTGAGTTATGGCAGAATAAAATTTCCCATCGTCAGAAAACGCCGCATCTGCCATCTTCCTGACTGAATTCCTGGTGGTTAAAACGTGACAGTGACATCTGACATTTGAGTTCCGTTCTAGGTATATGTTATATCATTTTTACGGTACTTAAGTATGCAGAAAGGTAAAACAGTTATAGATGCACAATATTTTAGATCAAGTCAATTCTGCGTAAAGATTGTTCTAGTCATTGCAGAAAAATGAATATAATTTACGATTACAATCACTAAAAATACTATATTCATACTACTAAAATAATTTTGGAGTACTGCGTGTAGTGAAAATGATTTTACGATTCCTTAATAAATGTTACCAATTAATAAAAATCAAAGAGTATTTATGAAAAAAGAAAACAATAATATTATGTTAAATGAATAATGAGCATTTTTGTAATGCCTGTCATATTATCAATTTTGAAATTATAACGTTCTAATTGCGACTACTATTTTTATTTTGTCAAATATTGTCAAATAAGTATGACATTACCGTGATTGGTTGTAATTTACAACCAATCCTGAAACAGTCTTAGTGTTTGTTTGTTTAATATCCTCATTTATTGGTTGTTTCTAAGCCCAATTCCTCCGTCTACGGCCAATTCTAAAAACCATGTAAAGAATGTTGCCAGAGTTCTAATAATAATATTTTAAAATGTAAAATAGAGAACAAAGGAAACCAGATTACAGATTATTAAATGTCGTACGAGCGAAACCGAACCGGACGTCGGATTTTATTTGTCATCGCTCATCGCTAGTTCAGTCGATTACGTTTGCGTACGTTTCGCGTACTCGATACTCGCGAATCGCGAACGAAATCCAATTGCGAACGAATGTTGTAGGCGTAGTTTATAATTTATTTTTTTATTTGTGCTCTCGTTCCACTTTTTAAATTGATTACTTTTATTTTACGGAAAATCTGTGCTTTATTTTCTGTGCTTTTTTCCGAAGTGAAACAAAATAATCGCGAAAGTGCAGTGGGTTTGGGTTTCGTGAATTATGATGTCATTTAATCCTTGAAAATATGAGTGTTAGTGTCGACGACGTTTCCAACCCTTTATCGGGAGGACAGGGGACGGTTTGCAACGAGGGAACTTCTTCAGATAACCAAAACACTAAGAATGATCAAGTTGAGGCAGGTCAGGAAAAATTGGAACCATCGAGCCCTAAGCCTTATCCAATGGCGTTTACCGTCGACTTTGGCGAGAGCAAATCATTTGATAACCGTAGACTCGAGGAGCTAGCGAAGAAATCGCAAGCCCGACACCAGAGGGTACAATCGATGTCAACTGGTTTAACTAGGCGAAGTCCGACGGCTCAGCGGCCCCCTTTGAGCGTAAAGCTCCCCAGAAAAGCTCAAGGATACAATTCGGAAGGTTATTTCTCCTCCGATCAGGAAGATAATGGTGTGTCCAACTCAGTTAAAGTTAGAAGCAGTCCCCTTGTGCAAAATGTTGAAAAGACGCATATAACAAGCCCGATTATTAGTAGGCAAGTTAAATCACCAATTGTAGACCAAATGTATCAAAAGAAACAAGCAAAAAGCCCAATTGTTGATAGTATAATGTCCCGAAGTGAAAATTTCACCACCCGTCAATCTTTAAATCTGCCTTTGAATCCCACCACCACCTATAATCAAAGTAGCATCCATAAAACACCTAGCTATGGCAGTCTTAGTTATCAGAAACATATGGCAGATATTGTTGATCAGAGTCCTGAAGGTTTAATGCTTACTGATATATCTAGTCCTGAATTGGATATTCTAACCCCTGATAATGGTTTGTCAACACCTGAACCATCGAAAAGTCCATTAGTGCGTAAAGTTAGGGCCATGTCTGAAACACCAGACTTGTTATTTAAAAAGTGTCCACCAAAACCTCAACCTTTGTTCATCGATGATGATGTTGATAGACAGTCCAATAATTCTTCAACTGGCACTTACACGATTGAAGGAGATAATTATACTGAAGAGCAAAAAGCTCGAATGAGTATAGATAGGTCTTTCGGTGCTAATTTACTTAACGAAGCAATAGATAAATCATTAAACAAACTATCTAACGTTGAAAGAGATCCTGAGCTCGTATTTGACTTCCCCAACCCACAACGAGTAATCACCACGGAACCAAGACGAGAAACTGGGCTTAGAAGTCCTCTAGCCATTCACTCTGCGTTTGAAATTCCAAATAAAGTGTCAAAAGATAAGAATGTTCTGGAAATTTCATGCTGTTATGAATCTCCCACAGAGAATGACTTGGCAGCACAAACCTCTAAACAGATAAAGTCTACCAGGAGTTATTTAGAGAAAATTAAAAATAGGGTTCGCACTATCACTGAGAAAACGTTTCCTAAATCACCACCAAAGCATGATGAAGAAGTTGATGTAGGCAGCTTCACATCAGTCACCACTTCTGGTGTTTTCAGTATGAAAAACCCTGTGAAAATTGAGATGCCCATCAGGAGACGTTGTAGTCTCACTAAATCTGATATAGACCAGACTGACTATGTACATAGATTATCTAGAGAGTCTTCTGTCCCGGTTTCATTGCCCAGTAGCAAGGGCTTTACTTTTGAGGATGCTACATTTGAAAGCACGGCTCTCAAAAACGCCCAGAAAGCTTTAAGAGATGATAGTGGGGTTTCGTCTGATATAACTCCAGATCAAGTTGTAGGAAAGTTGTCATATTTGAGTCTAAATCGGTGCAAAGGCGACAAGACCTGGATACAGGACTGGGCTGAAAGTGTCAAGAAATACAATAACAATACCTTGGGAAAGGAATCAGACCTGACCAGCTCATATTCTGACAGACCACCACTCAGTCCTCGTCATTTACCAGGGAAACGTAAGTACTTTTATTAAATTATTGAACATTTCTACATGGTACAGCTATGTTGCAGCTATATTATGGTTGTGTGTATGCTTATTATGATGAATGGGGTGGCTCTACTGGGGAAGGACCATGTTCCTATGGAATACCAGTGTAAAATAACAGCTCAATGCTGCTGTGTTTCGTATGGTGAGTGTAGAAAACCAGAGACCTTCTTTAGTGGAAATGAGGCATTCTATTTTAGTCCTCAGGGATGAAAATGCATCCGCATTTTGATTCTTAACTGAGGACAAATGTAGATGTTTATGGGCCACAGCTTCCACTTACCATGAGGTGGACTGTATGCTCTTTTATCACCCTTATTCTAAAAAACATCTTATGTACCATGTTTTTATGCAAATAAGTTTCTTATGTATCCATCTATCAAAACTTTTATGATGATATATGTAATAATTGAAACATTGTTAGGACATAGTATAATATAGAAGAACCCCAGTAGCTGTTATGTGGAACTTGTTATTCCTTTTGTTTATTTCTAAGCTGTCCCCCACGGGATTGGATATAAAATGAATTGGGCTTTTTTCATCAGAAAATTGAATATATTAGACTTAATGGAAAACTACCAATAAGATTAATTTTCTGTTGGACGAAAATTAGTAATCGGGGAATAAAAATGAGGTACGTCCCTATGAGGCGTTAGCGACGCATTGTTAGCCCTTCTAATTTTAAGAGGGAGTGCTTTCCAGAGGAAAACAGACGGTATTGTGTTTTTACTGTTGAAATACCGTTTTTATTTTGAAGTTTAATTTTTATCACTTCGTGAATTAACAACGTACCAACTAAAATGTTGTCTAATTAGTTACAAAAAAAACTTCATTTCTCTATGTGTACCCTTACGCTTTATACCCTTTAATAAAAAAAAGAATCATAGTGATAGTAAACATACATAAAAAAATATATTTCGAATATAGAACCTCCATTTGAAGTCGGTTAAAAATTAAAGACAATAGACCGAACAAAAAGTATTCATCCATTACAGCCTATAAAAGTCCACTTGCCTCATTTTGCCATAGTTGCCATGCTTGGCAAGTGGGTTGTCAACTGCAGTTTTTTATTTTGAAGTTTTATGAGGATGATGATGGTACTTCATTTTCTCTCTACCGCATACAACACCTTGGGACAATATGGGGTAGTGATGTTTTTACATTGCCACTACACAGTTAAAAGTATAAAAAATGTAATTATTAAGTTAGGTCCAAATTGTACTTGTGACTTGGCTTAACTTTTAATGAAATGATTACTGTTTCGGTGTTCTTATTATTAGAAAAAAATCCTTGCCTCTTGCAAAACTGTTCAAATCATTTTACATCATAGATAACATAGACTAATAGATAATTCTTTAAAATTTTGCACACACCAAAACACAACATAAGAGAGAAAAAAAAATGTTAGTTGTAAAAATTTTATGTTAGTAATTCATTTATAGGGCAATGTATACGCTTTTACATCAAAATTCCAGAAAAAGTTTAAATGTTTTATTAAAGAAAAATTGTACAAAAAGGGTTATTATAATCAAAGAATACATTAATGAATAAACACCTGAGAATCAAGTGATCGCCACCATTCTGGTTCTATTATATTTCATTTTAAAAACTTTATAAAATTATTGTAAAGTGAAATATGTTAAAAAAAAATTGTTAGGTTTCCTGTTGGTTCTTCCCACGATATAGGTATTTTCCGAACCAGTGGTAAATAAAAAAAATGACTTTCAATAAGTATTATGTAGAATAAAAATCATTCTATTCTATTCTTAAAAATTTGTAAGTATAATGGACGGTTTTACTGCTAAAAGCGATTTCTTCCAGACAACTTAATAGACATAATGGGCCCTAATAAAAATAAATTATATATATTAGTAGCCCCAGGCTTAAACTAAAGGCTGTTCCAAGTCTGGTCGAAAATATACGTTAAAATATAAAGTAGGTAGAGTTTGACAGCCAGTGTCAAACTTCGCGAAGACTGTGGCGCTGCATAGGATCTACTTTGGCTAGAAAGACTTATAATATTTTTAAACTAGTGATCGGCCCCGGCTTCGCACGGTTGATTTCTGGATCTCTACAACAATGCCACCTAACGGGTCCAATTGTGACTCTAAACCTTTCTCTAACCAACTTAATCACACACACAAAATTTTATCAAAATCGGTCCAGCCGTTTAGGAGGAGTTCAGTCACATACACACGGACAGAAGAATTATATATTATATAATATGTATGTATTATACATATAAACCTTCATTTTGAATCACACTGTATATTGATGAAAACCGCATCATAATCCGTTGCGTAGTTTAAAAGATCTAAGCGTACAGACGGCGGGAAGCGACTTTGTTTTATAATATGTAGAGATATTTTTCTGTAGTGCGATTTATCTGGAATTCGACAGATAAATTACAAGAAAAAATGGTCCTACTTTATCAATGGCTCAATTTCGTTTTTTTGGCGGTAATAGTCTGTTCTGTTTTTTTGTAATATTTATGGGACAATCGGATTTACAGTCCATTTAACGGTAAGTGGCTACAGCAGTCCACGGAGACCTGTAGGCAACTTCAAACGAGGAGGGCTACAGATGCGTTGTCACCTATGAGGAGCAAGATGGAATACCTCACAGCCTGTGATTATATTGACTCTTTTTACCCTTCAGAGCGGAACAACAAAGCAAACACAGTTATTTTTTTTTCAAAATGTAGCAATTTTTTAGAAATAGCAAACAAAAATAGTTATAAAAACGTAGTCCTACTGCCTATTAGTTGACGGGAAAAAGCTTTCGTGTGTGTGAAATCCGACCAGGATTGGAGACAGAGAGTACGACGAGACGAGTATGATAGTATAAGTTTTTAGTTTTTTTTTCTTAAATTATGATGAAGAATAATTTATATTTTATTAAAGCGTATTAATATATAATGTTTGAAAATTTTATTTATAGGATAGGGTGACAAACGAACACAAAGTCCACCTGATGGTAAGTGGTTGGTGTGACCCATAGACATTAATCCTCAATAAAGAATCAAAATGCAGATATTTTTCATCGTTATTATTAAAACGCTTCTCTGTTATCCTTACACCGCAACTACACGACCAGTTAGTGTGAAAAAGGTTTTCTTAACCTTGACAAATTATCAACTTTGTCCAACTATGAGGTCAATCAAGATATTCTACGGTCGTTAGCACCACGTTAACGCTATGATGGAAAACTATAAAAATGAATCAAATTCGCTGAGTCACGGATACTTAACGCTCAGATATGTCATTCCCATTCATTTTTATGGTTTTCTACAGCGTTAACGATCGTAGGAAACCATCATGGCTAACCCCGCCGCGCCGGTATAAAAGAGTGATGAAGGTCAAACTCTCGACTCTCGACACTCTCTAAAAATAAGGACAAGTAGTTTTAAAGAATCATTGTTCAAATCAATGATTTGATTAGATCTTAAGCGAAAAAGGACGAAATGATAAAATAATCTCAAATACCAACATAAAATAGCAGCTTAACACTGCTGTGTTTCGTATGATGAGTGTAGAGAACCGGAGACCCTTTCTACTGGAAAAGAGGTATTCCATCTTAGTCCTCACGGGTGACAACACATCTGTATCTTGATTCGTAATCGAGGATAGTTGTAGATGTCTATGAGCCACAGCAACCACATACCATCAGGAGGACTGTGTGCTCACTTATCACCAAGGTGCTAGGACAAATATTTGCCAAACAATACTATGGTTAACACTTACCGTTACAGCTTACTAAAGTCCAAGTGGTGAACATGGGCCTCTCCTATAGATTGCCTCACAGGAGGATATTTGCTATAGTTGCCACGTCTATTAAGCTGGTTGGCAATTGCAGTTTTTTTTATTTTTAGTCGTTATTAGGAATACGCTGCTGCCCATCGCCTGATTTGTTTCCCTCTGTCGCGTTAAGACGTGTTAGAGGGAAACAACAACAAACTTTTTGGTGTTTGGTATCTTATAAACGTTTGCCAAACAATATTATGGTGGTTGTTGATGGGCCAACATTCAATAAGCACGTCGATGCCAACCAATCGTGTCTTCCATCGCGATTATTCTGATATGACGGACCAAATTAATGAAACGTGATAGCGACCCACCGCGTCTGTAGAGATAACATTGTTTAATGTACACAATAGACTTTATTACGAAGCGATAAAGATTATATTGTCTGAAATCTTGCGTTTGCCTTGCAACATTTACAATATAATGTTGCGTGTTTGTTGATATGTTTCTAATTATCACATTTCTATTGTATCTGTTAGTTGAAATTGTAATGACGGCATCCGCGACTTTCTTCCACCAGGGCGGCGTCACTTAGGAATGAGATGAAATATTATAAGTTAATTTGTGAGAAAAGAGTAGGGATTAATGTTTCTATCTCAAATATTAGATATATTCCTAAAACTGGGCTAATTAAAAAAAAGTTAAAAATTAAAAAATACAACACTGTTTTGTATTTATAAATACATAAGTAACCTGAAAAACTTATATTTAAATCTCAATTTTTTAATGATGATGACAGTGTGTGATCACTTGCGTAACAAATAAGTTCACCTTAGTCCCAACTAGTGATATCTGGTGAAAGTAAGAGTCCTCATTGGCCGCCTATATAGCCCATATAATAAACAATCAATGGTGAAGAAAGGCTCGATAAGGCCGCCTCGAACAGTGGCAAGGTTATAGCGACTCTTACCTCTAGATCATAAAACAATTTTATGTATAAAAATTTATTATGACCGCTTTTTTTAAAACGGACTAAAAAGTATTTTTTTTTTCATATTCTTACGTTGTCATCCGATTTTGAGCTATGTTCAAACTTTCAAATCTCTAGCTCTACGGGAAGTTAGTTTAAAATCAATTACTAATACACGACCGAGTTTATACAAGCTGGTAAAATTAAACATTTTGTACAACCGACTTCAATATAAATAAAATGACAACATCATTAATG